GGTGAGAAATTGTTACACCAGCTATGAGGTGGGTAGGAGATACCTGAAACTTTGATGCAGAATTTTTTATACTATAATTGTGTATTAAGTATTTTTTTACTTGGGATAATAATAATAGTATCCATTCAACAGGATGAGTAAATAAAATGTCATGTTTAAGATTGAAAAGCATTTTTTTTAATTGAAATAACAAAGTGTCTATATTTTCTTTGAAAAACTACAAGTTTTGGTAGTTTAACATTTTTTCGTATAAAATTCTAACAAAATTACAACTTCTTTGGTTAATCAACATAACTATAGTATCTTTCAATTATAAAAATATAAAAAAAACTAAAAGGTCTTATGAGATCAATTTGCACAGCACCAACATTACACCTACAAATCAGCACAATCTCCACACACAAAAATTGCATGCTTCATACTTATTGGCTTCTCACACTTTGAACAGCAATGTTTTGTTTTCCTATCTGTTTTTTTAGTACAGTCACCACACCTGACATATTTACCACCCACTTTTTTGGAAACAGGTAATGAAGGTTCTCCCAGATGATCAGTAATCAGTAATCACTTTTCGAGTTTCCCTTGGATGATGCATGTTTTGTTGTCTAATGCGAAGACTATCATTTGAGAAATCTAGAAATAAATCTAAGAATACTATAAATAACTATAACTCATAAACTTACTGTCAACTCAAAAATATAACACCAACTATGAGATCGGGTGTGATGTACCCCAGCCACCTTTGCTCATGTGTATCTCCCGCTGACACCAGCAAAACACTAAACTCAACAAGTTCAAAAAGAACTTGAACTTGACCGAGGTGAGCTGTTAGCAACGAGCGTGGTGAGCTTTGTAGCAGCAAACGACAAGAGGTGTCCGATAGCGATAAAGTGGTTCCAAGGCAATTTGAAGTTATTCGATTTGTGGATCGAAGATTAGAAAGTCTTGAGAGTTGAGGAAAAAGGTTCCTAGTATATTGAGGTAACGATTAGGCCCTTAGTTCTTAAGAATTGTTGTACATAAGTTAAGTCTTTGAATTTTTTGTCGAGTTCCAAAGGGGAATAGATTTAAGTTAGCAAATAGATTGATTTGAGTTTTGTCGGGTTGATTCTTATTGATTTTCTTTGAATAAATTTGTTGTTTGATTGTTACTAATTTCTGTACATAGTCATTATTAGAATTATTAAATATTTGATTGGTTTTGACTAACTTTGTCATTATTTCTTTTGGTGCACACTTAAAGTCCAGGCTGGGCACATTAATGCAAATCCACGTAACGTACCCGTTAGGTTTCCGGCACAAAGTCGTGTCGCTAATCGTTGTAAAAGGCATAAAAATAACTTAGTACTTTACAACCTGAGTAGACTCATACGTTTGATGGCTGTCACCTGATCTTAGTGGTTTTAAGGCTTAAATTTTGTCTGTTTTTCCTTGCTTAAAATGTTTGAATGTGTGGGTAGCCTGAGGTAGGACGAAGTCGTACCTCGTTCTGATAGGCAACAGTTAGGTGAGAACTGCCCACTGGTCAGTGGATGGCTTGGATAATGTTTTCTCTATCCCGTAAAGTCGGGATTCTTTTGTCAGGTCGAGTGGAGGAGGTGAGAGGGGTCGTCGGTAAAGTGTGAGCGATACTCGAAATAAAGACGACTTTTAACAACAAAACAACATTTATTGAGACGATAACATAACTAACATAAATACANTGTTAATTTAGTATCAAAAACGTAAAATATTTGAGTAGCCCGAGAAATAGCCGAAGATTGCAGCGCCACAGCACTAGCGAAAATTTAAATTTGCCGACTGGAATGCTTTCGGATAATGGACGTTTCGGATAACCAGCTTTCGGATAAACGACGCTCTACTGTATTTCCATTGTTTATTTCTTCTATTTACAACTTGGAAAGCCTCTGGAAATAGAATTTAACTAAACTAAAACTTGAAGTTTAGTACATATCTTCAAGTTTTTCTTCTTTTTTTGGAAATTTATCTATCCTAAATTATCTTTCACATTTACATCAACAAATTTTAATAATTACATTCATTTACTTCAGTTTTTCTCTCTAATGAAAGAAAAAGAAAAGAAATTCAGTTTTACAGTAACAGATTTTAATACAAATCAAAAATCTGAACAAATCGCTTTAATAAATGAAATTAATTGCTTAAATAAATGAAATTAATTTTTCTATAATAGACATTATTCAATCTCTATTATAGAAAAATATCTTTCCATTCACAAAGCAGAGAATGAGAGAAAACTGTTTTGAAGCTTACATTATGACAAAAACATAAAACACTATTTCCTCTTACAGGATGAAGCAAATTGAATTTAGGACTAAAGAGGACTACAGTTGAAATATAGTAGAATCTGTTTGCTGTAATAACTTTTGGACTTACCTATACTGATGACATTTCATTTGTTAATCATTAATCCATCCTGAGATCTTAAATGAAATAGATGACAACACATGCAACAACATAACAACACATTATCTAATTGATTTTTGTTTGTTTGTACCTAGAACACCATCCGATAACATTAAGTGGTGTAAGTAAATAAGATTAAACTGTAATCAGTGGAAAATCTGATTTTATTAGCTCTGACATTAAAAATGACATGTTAAAACAATTAAAAAATATAATATTCTATTAATTAATAGTGATTTATGGTGAATACAACTGAAGTTAAAAATTACAGTAATTTAAACTACAAGTGAATAATGTTTAAAACATGACTGTACATTATCAGTCATAGATGCTAACAGCATGGAGAGTCTATTTATCTGAAGCTATTGATAATATATTCAGAGTTTTGGATAAGGTTAAGTCTAGTTTAACTTCTATGTTTGGGGACATGTTAATCTGATAACCTTAGACAACTGATGGTGACTGTATCCCATTATTATATAGTGACCAAAAACTAAAATGACAATTAAAAGACTGAATTTAAACATAGCTGCCACAGAAATATACTTTCTATCAATAAAAAATCCAGCAACAAGTTATGTAACTTGCCTGGTTGTTATAGAATAACTTTTATAGTATATTTTTAATTATAATAAATAAAATTTTGTATGGCATCATCTGTTAGGATATTTTATTTTAAAAACTTGTATTTTTAATTATTATAAAACAGAAAAAAAAAGCTTAATTTTCAGGATAATGATGAGTTTCATAAAAAATTGTAAATGTTAATAACAAATGACATCTTCATTAAGTCTGACCTCTCTCAAGATATGACATGACACTTCTTTATCTGTTCACTCAGTCAACCTTTAACCACCAAAATTTAATAGCATCAAGTTACCATGCCAAATTTCATTTGTTAATCATTAATCCATCCTGAGATCTTAAATGAAATAGATGACAACACATACGACAACACATTATCTAATTGATTTTTGTTTGTTTGTATCTAGAACACATGTTAATTTTTCTTATCAAAGAATAATCATTTTTCTTATTCTTTGTTAATTTTTCTTATCTTGAAAGATAAGAAAAATTAACAACATGTTAATTTTTCTTATCTTTCAAGTTAATACATAATTTTTTAAATTTTAGTTAAGTCATTAAAGCATAAAAATCTGAGTAAGTTTTGAAGATTTTGTGGTGGAATAATGACACAACACATTTTACTGTAAATGATCATGAAATCTCATAATATATTGTACAGAACTCTGAAATTGTTGATTTTGAATTATGTTACAAATGTTCTCATGCAATGTGCCAAAGTTTTACTTTTCTTTTAGACAACTCATTCTACTTTCTTCATGTTCATATACTGTATTAACTTTCTGTTTTATTCATTAAAAAAATTTTTTTAAAGCAAGTTGTAGAAATTGCTTCTATTTTTTATATCATTACTTTCTCTCCACATTGAATTTCATAATAAAAATAGTAAGCATATACAGTACATTAATGGTAAGAATTACCTCTTTGAATGCAAGAGTTAACCTAATCACTCACTATCGGCAAAAAACCTCAATTTATTTATATCGCACGTAAAACAAAACTACTGTAAGTACAGTCCATGTGCAAAGACATGACCCAGCTAGTTCCCCTTTAAGCCATATATAAAAGCTATACTATGTGAAACACTTGATTTTTTTTGGGTAGTTAAAATTTTTTGCTTATTTTAGAAAATGCTTATTATTCACTCTCATAAAAATACAGTAGTTTAAGTAGAAACTTAACTATTTGAGGAGGAAAATTTTGGTGAATCAATTCGTTGGCTAATTATGTTTTGCTCTATCAGAGACAAAATCCTATGGGAATCTTTGCTGAGTATAATGGTTAAAAGATGTTCAATGATTAATCTAGAACAGTGATGGTGAACCCATAACCCATACAATTTCAAGGTATCCCCATTGAATGTTTAGAAAGTATTTGATTTTTATAAATTATAAAAAAAATATTTGACAGATTTCAAAACTTTGCATTTGTAGTGTAAAAGTGGGGACCTAAAGCTATTATGAAAGGTTTTATAAGCAAGAAATTATGACTTCAGATTAAAAAATTATCATCAAATAAATAGCAGTAGATTTTTCCATTAAACAAAATACTTGTTCCTGTTATAATCACATTATTTTTTTCATTCTCTTATAATGTTATTACTATTATTTCTTTTTAGATAGATTAAAAATTTAACGAAAAGTGCTTACAAATTCTAATTTATTTATTTTTAATTATTCAAATTAAATATTTGATCCATGATTTGGAGTTATTAAATTTCAAATTCAGTTTTGATCCACTTTGGAAAAAAGTTTGCCATTGCTGAGCTAGAACAAATTGCAACTTTTGAAATAATTTAAGTCTATAACATCTACTTTTTATTTTTCTAAGGAAGACTATTGCAAAGATTTTTTTTGTTAAATATTACCATGTCCATGATTAATTTTAATCATTCTACACAAAAATATATTTATCTTACAATAATTAAACATAAATATTTAGCATAAATTTCAAACTTTTAGATTATTTCTAAACTGAAACAATATACTTACAGCATGAGTTATATTATCACCATAAAGAGTAAGCGTTGCTTTCACATCTCCCACAGAGGAATTACTGATAAATAAATCAATCAGCATTTTAAAATCAATACAAATATGTATATTTTGTAACTTTTTTAATTTAACATACAACATAAACACTTAATAAACCATCAAACATCTATTACTGAGAAATGTTTATTAAATGAATTCAGTTACACCTGAAGATGGCCTATTCTATTAGGTTGAAAACATTAGTGTTTCATTTAATAAACATTTCTCATCAATAGAAGATGTTTGATGGTTCATTAAGTGTTTAAAAAGGCTGAGTTTGATATTTGGTTATACAATATAAATTTATTCAATAACTAAATTAGTTTTCCATCTCCAATAATTCTCCATCAGACAAATTTACAGAAGAAAATTCTACATGTATCGTCACTAGGGGCAACTTTTTTAAAAATCTATATTTTTCAGCGCCAGTTTCCAGTAGATAAAAAGCAGTTAAAAACCCCCAAAGAAGGTATAGATGGATGCAAGCAGGCCAACTGTATGTCACCAGTTCCTTTTTCAGAAATTACTTATAATTTTAATTGGATGTGTTTTGTGTTTTTTTTTAAAAAGGACTTTTTGTAATTTCTGGCGACAAGCAGCCTACAAAGAAAGGTCAGTCACTGAAAAACTGTATAGTCTTGGAACACAAAGAATAAATGGTGATCCTTTTTGGCAGTTTTGTCTTCAATTTTTATTAAACAATAATTCTCCATAGGACGAATTTACAGAACTAAATTAGTTATTAAATTAATTACACACACAGAATATATACAGGGTTTCTCAGGAGGAAATATCAATATTCCAGGGAAATGAAAGAATGGATATTTTGAACAAAAATGCTCACATAAACATGTGCACTATCCTGAATGATTTGAGATAGAGTTGAAATTGTGCTGTCAATGTGTGGTGTGGGATAATCAATGACATGTTGACAGGTCCAGTTATTTTAGAACATTGACTAATAGAACACAATTACCTTCAACTTTTGCAAATTACATTAGGAGCACAACTAGAGGATGTTCCTTCGGCCACAAGACAAACTATGCATTTTCCACATGACCAAGCCCTCCCTCATTTTATTAGGTGTGTGAAGCCTCATCTCAATCACATTTTCCCTAATCACTACATCTGGTCATGGTGTTGCCACTAACTGGCCATCAAAACCTCCAGATTAATAATGGATACTGTTTGCCATGTAAAAGAATGTGCAAATATATTGACATGCAGCATGACATGTTCTCATGAAAATGGATAAAATGCATTGAAACTGACAATGAAATTTTTAAAAATTATTATAAACTATTATTATAAATTTGTCACGTGAAAAATAAATATTCAAATGCTTCTATCTTGGAAACCATTTGGGAGAGTGCACTGTTTATATGAACTTGTTTGTTTATATATAATTATTCCTTCATCTCTTGGAAAATTGAATATTGACCTTTCCCATTCACAGAATATATTAAAAAAAACACACACACACATTTTACTATTAAAAATATTCATTAATAACACTAAAAAAAATGAAATTTTAATGAGAAAATTGATAATATTTTAATCTTTTTGTTTAAATTCTAGTAAAGATCTGATTACAACATATTCATTAAATTCATAATATTTATAGCAGCAATTTGAAGGAAGAATAATACAATTGAATTTTGTTGTGAAATTCTTTCTTCCATGCAATTACCATCAAAGTAATCAAAACAAGGCAACAATAATGCAGTGATCTGATGTATTTTAGTCCCTTTGCTGAGAACACTGTGAGTAATGCACTCTATCTTAAACACTTTGTATGATTTAAGATCAATTCTTAAATTTAATTTAGTGTTTTATAAATCAAATATTTTGTTTGTCATATGCATTATTGAAGTTTTGGTGGATACAGAGAGTACAGTTATCGTTTAAAGTTTAAATTCCAGTGTAAAACCAAATTCTTAGATTCAAAAGAGAGAAATAATATATTTATCTCCATTCCATCCTCATATCTCACAGATAATCTGTATCTCTCTGATAGCAAGTCAAATGCATAACCATTTAAAACTGAGTCAGAATTTAAACTATTATCATGATCATGTCATATCACAAATCCCTGTGAAACGTCATATATTTGACATTTCTGTAATCACTGCCATTAGAAGATAGAATAATCATATTATTGTAGCCTAGATGTTAGAAATTTCAGAAAATTATCAAGTCAAATGTAGTATTGATCTAATTATCTGGATAAGTTTAAACATTATTCTTACATTTATTACTAGTTTAAGACAGTTAATATGAGAGTGTAGATAATGAAAGGTCTTTAAATATAAGGAATATGAGAGTGTAGATAATGAAAGGTCTTTAAATATAAGGTCTTTATATTTAAGGAATTGTAGACATACAATTCCTTAAATATAAGGAATTGTATGTCTACATACAAAAATTTCCATTACTTAAAGTCAAATAATTTAGTATAAAATCAAGATTAAATTAGAAGAAATTTCCAATATTAATAGAATATCATTGCAATTTTTGTTTGCTTATTTTGGATTTCATATTTTTTTATAATTCATTTAACAACTTTTAAAATTATTTTCAACATAATTTAACTTTTTAATTTATAAATAATAGCTTAATTGTTTAAAAACTTAAATACATTAAGCAAAAATTATATAAAATGTTTGCAAATTAAATTACCTTCCATTTGTCATTTCAAACTTTTCACTTTTAACAAGAGTGTCATCTTTTGTTATAGAAAGACAAAATCGTCTACTGCATTCCTATATAATATAAAAAATTTGATAATGAATAAAAAACAAGAAATATATATACAGTGGGTGATCGGTTAACGAACATAATCCGTTCCAAGACTTTGTTCGCTATCCGAATTGTTCGTTAACCGATTATCGATTTACCATAGGTTTCTATGGGAATTTGATTAATTGGTTCTGGAGACCCCCCAAAATAAAAAAATATATACTTTCTTACTACCTTNGACGACGGACCTCCTTTTCTCGTCATCACCCCTCTTTTATCCCTTTCGTCACGTTACTGGGTTTCACCAATCGCCGATTTTTAGGATAAGTTCCTCGTGAATCATTTTTCGGTTTCCCGAGAGATAGGAAACGGCTCCGTGGGAAGGAAATGTATATATCCTTTTTCGTAAAATTTCGAAAAATGAAGTTTTTCTTTGTTTAACTTTAATAAAAATATTTAATTTAATTGGAGCTCTTTTATTTAATTTTACTTTATTCGGTTCGATCCTCACAAATGTTTTGTAGACAATTTTAAGCAAATTTATGCAATTTTTTAATTTTATTTATTACTGTAAATTTTATATTGTATACAAGACTATTTTGATGTTTGAAATAGTTGCAAACTCATAAATTACCATATTAAAAGCTTACATGCTCCTATGCATAATTGTACTGTACTGTACTGTATATCTATTATCAGTATATACCAGTATATATAAAATATTTATTTTCAATTGGTGTCACTCTATCATCTGTTATCATGTCAATTAGTTTAATACAATGAAAGAAAATCAACTTCAAGTGTTATATTTCTTGTCGCTCTTTCTATGAAAAGGTTAATAATAATATTTAAAGTAAATGTTTTGTAATGGAATGTTTGTTATAAGAATGTCCAAAAATAGTTTTCATTTTTTATTTAATTAATTTACTTAATATTTATTTTGATGATTTAAATATTTACTTACCAAAATAATATTATGTAGCTTTTGCAAAATAGCATTTACTTCATTTTGAAGAAGCCATTCGAATTCTTGATGCTTTAAAAAGAAAAAAAATGCAAAATTAAACTCAAATTATAAAAAACTATAAATAAAAATAAATCAAATTATTCATTACTTAATTTTTAATTTAAATTTTCTTACTATCAGAATAAAGAAGAATCAAAAATTAATTTAGAAGAAAGTTTAATCAGTTTGTTGTACAAAATTTTATCAGAAATTTTTCATTATTAAATAATTAGATTTAGGTCAAGTGAATTTTTATCTCAAAGAATCTGGAGATAGAACAAACAATATTTTTTGCCACTCTAACAACTTAAATACATTAAATACTATTTTTAATCATTTAAACTTGTATAATTTATATTTTTAAATGTATAATTTTGCAATTTTTCTTGTTTAAAATAACGTGAAAAGTATTTTTTTTTAAATGTAATATTATTATTATTATTTGTAAACTAGAAATTTTATATTATACTTTACAGATTGCAATAACTGCTATTATAAACTTCAATGAGTAATATTTGTAATATTTATAATAATGATTCATCTGTTATCATAAATATGATAATACTGTAATATTTATTCATAATTCTTATCTTTTGTAAAGTAGAGAAAAATTTAATAAATCAGCTTTAATACAACTACTAAATGGAAAAACAAAGTCAAAAAGAATTGCTGACACCTAGAACTAGAATGCTTTAATTTTATTTTTACATTTAAATATTTTGTTGTTGCTGTTTTCTGGCACAGTGACCATCCGTGCCAAACTGTGTTGTAATCCTACTGTTACTGTTACTGCATATATTACCATTGAAGACATAAGAGCAAACAAATGACCATTAGTGCAGCAGCCAACCACAAGTGTGAATTACATCCTAAGTAAACAGTATAGAGTCAGTTATAACAAGGTAAAAGATGAAAATAAGACATTATTATATGTTAAATAGATAAAAAAAACAGAAAGAACAAGAAGTATAATCATAACAACCATAAAACATTAACAGCACTTAAAAAGATAATTCAACTGGTTTGAAAGTTTCCTTAAGTATTTCTACATTTACATATTTTAATTATTAGGTTCTGTAAATGGAAATATTAATTATAATTAATTTTAAAAAGATAATTCAATAAAATTACTGCAATACATTAATATTTTAATGCAAGTTAAACAAATTACACGGCAAAATCTGATCGATAAAAATCAGCAATTTAATAAATAACAATTCTGAATTTATAATTAATCATCATCAACTCATATATTAATGCTTAACAAATATTTTGACTTAAAACTCTGATTTTACTTTTTATGTTGAAGTATATTATCACTCTTTTCTGCAGCCAATTAATTTCTATAAATGGCATCATAAATCTGTTTACTCTGAATGCTAAATGTTTAATTTGATAAAATTTAGTAGTTATTACATAGTTATTAAATTATTTAATTCGGATAATTTCTTATTTATTATAAAAATAAAAACAAAACAGAAAAATTTGTTTAAAATTTTATTTGTCAGTATGATTTATAATTAAAATTTTTAATTATTAATAAAATTTACTACTATTTATAAAATCAGAGTATTTATTTTATACATTTAAATATATCCATCAAAAATAAAACTATCAACAATAAAAGCAATTTTAATTTAAATTAATTGACAACAATGTTAAACATTACTAATTTTATTTTCAATTAGGGATAGACCAAATAGGGGTTTTTGGTTGTTTCTGTTGCCAAATACCAAATATTTTTGGCTTACTACTGCTGAATACTGAATATTCAGCCAAATATCAGCTGATACATAGGAAACTTCCTGAAACAATGTCTTCTTTAAGTGAATCATCTGGAACTACTTGAGATAAACACAAATTTATGCAAAATTTCATTTTAGACAGTACTTGCTGACTCACAACTTCATCTAAAACAAGACCAGATTATACAGGATTTTCAAAAATTAATGCTATCATTTTAAATTACTGTAATTATGTTAATTATTATCTGAGAAGTATGCAATATACACCAACCGATAGAGTAAGTGTTCGAATTTCATTTCCCATTTGCACTCTCACATCATCCCGTTTACTACCTCTAGGAAGTGCCGTAAACAAAAACAACAACTACACAACAGAAAAGTGTTTTGTGTTCTGTGGTTCACAAAGTCAGAATAAGTATCCCATTCTAACTCATCCTTTTGCTACATGAGTAATCTGCAGAAGATGCAGAATACTGCTGCAGAGCTGCAGGAGCTGTAGAATTATAGCTGCTGTAGTGACAATGGATATGCTGTAGTGAGTGTAGGAAAAATTTGAGTATCAATTGTGTGCTGTGTAGGGTTTGGGTCCCGGGATGTCTCGTGTCTCGAAGTCCCGGGACTTTTTCTAAATTTAATTGTCTCGGGTCCCGGGACATTCGGGTCAAGACTCGAGACACGCTTATCAAAATTATATTGTAATAATTTTATTTTCAAAAGGTTAGCCCAGCGACGCTTCCTTTGTTCTCCCTCTCGTTTACAAATAAACAACACAGGTGGGGGTAATTTAAAGGCCGTGTGACTTTTAATCTTACTCTGTTAAATGTTTGTTAAAATATTTGCACACTGGCCACCACAGTTCACAGTTGCAAAATATGGATATTTTACTTCGAATTTGAATAAAACTGCACTTATTGCTTTTGCGGAAGATCTGTATTACAGACTTTTTGAAAATATCCCTCGTATCCAAACTCCAGATTTGGAAATAATAGACGCCGAACCCATTACCAGTAACTCTACAGTACACAACGAACCCAATGAGTCGTTTCAAAGTCAAATGGAACAGGCAATCAAAAAAATTGAAGAAAATTTACCCAAAATTTCTGCAAAAAGATCAAGAGCAGCATTAAAAAATGAGTTCCAGTTATTTGAAGCAACCGGAAAACGTACTGAAAGTTTGGAACTACTTTATAAAGCTTTAAACACAATAAAACCGACACCTGTTGAAAACGAGAGAGTGTTCTCCTTGTCCGGAGGCATTATTACAAAGCTGTAAATACTGTACTCTGATGTTTTTAAATGTCTTATTGCTAGTTCATTATATTATTTAGACTAGGCGATGATTATTAATGATTAGTATGATTACTAAGTTGATTTTATAATTTTAAGATTTTACTGCCAAAAAATGAATCTATGATTATAAGAATTAAACATACGAACTGTTTAGACTTTAATTAACGTTATAAATAATAGAATTTGATTTTATGTTAAATAAATGTTGCTTTTTTATTGATACATCTCGCCAAAAATGAACTCGATTCTAATTTTTTTCTGAGAAGTCTCGAAGTCCCGGGACCTCCCGGGATTTTGATCGTGGGTTGTCTCGTGTCCCGGGACTTTGAGAATGTCGAGACTTCCTAAACCCTAGTGCTGTGCAACATGAGGTGCATACATTAAGAAATTATAATGGACAAATATGAAACTTGGACAATTCCATGTTTTAATGTACATTACAACATTCTCAGGGAATAATTAACATAATTACAATAATTTAAAATGGTAAAATTCTTTTTGGAAGACCCTATATTTATTAAGAATTCTAATTCCTACCCAAACTCTAAATATCATTTTGTTGGTTATGTGAAATTACTGATAATAGATTTTTTCTGTCTAGATTCTCTACTATGCTTGTTTACATAAAGTCTGCTTGTTTTCTAGCATATTATAATATGAAAAAGAAGATTGAAAGAATCAAAGGATTGACAAGATTGCATTTTCTGGAATGAAAACAGCATAAAATAAGTAGCATATTCAATTCAATCAACTAATTTGATATCTGCATCTTATATGGAGCATTTATCAAAGTCCAACTATAGCAAAGTATAGTTTTAAGTTTTAAATAGTAAAGCATATTGTATAAAAATAATTAAAGTATGCACATTATATATATTAATTAATGTGCATATTTTACTTATTTTTAAGGATTTGTGTTATTATTTCAATTGATACACAGTTGAAATCTTTATAAAATGCATCATTTGTATAAATTCATATTAAATAAACTGGTCCTTCATGATCAATATTTGATTTTACTGGGACAGACACTATGTTAATTTAAAAGTTTATTGATCTAGATGAATTTGGAGGAGGAAAATTAAACTTAGCAAAACAGAAACAATTAGCAAAAATTAAATAAATTCCTGACATCATAACTACTGTACTTAGTAACTATACATTACCAAAAACTAAAATATTAATGTAAAACTATTTTGTCTTAATCTTTAATCATATCTGATATATGTTTACATAAAAAAATATCCAAGGTAATGTGAAGGAAATATACTTTGGATAATTGAAAAGTTGAATAACACAATGTTTGGTAAATTATTAAATAAACTAAATTTGAGTGCATTAATATGTGTGATGCACTCTATTTTTAGATTAGACCTACTTATTGAACAACAATAAAACATTTTTGATTTTATTTACAACTGTATTTATAAAGAAAATGATATGATTACAATTCAAATATCTTCAACCTTTTTTTTTAAAGTTTATATTGTCATGAAAATTCATCTCAGTAAATTCTTTTTAAAACATCTAGAATACCTTCAAGTGCCATGCCTGGTCAAAATTCATAAAATGTACCATACTTATTGCATTATCTAGTCTTTGTTGACAAAGTATGTTTCAACAATTCACCTTGAACATTGCAAAACTTCTCAGTCAGGTTTATTGTATTTACTTACATATATAATCATCTTATATTGTTATGAACTGTGGTTTGCATTTCAGATTGAGGAAATGAAACTAAAGTAGAGCATCGATTATACAAAATACTTGGAATGGGAAAATATTAGATAACTGATCACACTTTATAAGGAAAGAATAAAAAAGTAAATACCTTAAATAAAGTAAAAATATTCATTTTAATTCTATTGGGTTGTTCGAAAAGTAATTTCATTTTTTTTACCACTAGACGGATTAGTCGTATTTTTCCCACAATTTTCATTCTAAACCGCATTATCATTATATATTTTGACAGCTAGCATTTTAAGGCTTATTTGT